GCCCGGGGGCCGGCCGACCCGCCCCGCGGCGCTGCTTCCGGTATGGGCCCCGCCCCGGCTGTGGCCCCCGGCTGCGGAGGAGTGCGAGCCTCAGCTGCGCTGCCGGGGCCTGAGCGCCGCTCCTCCCCGCCCGCCAACCCGGAGCGCTGCGCACAGGTAGGCGGCGCGGGTGTTGGCTCTCAGCCGCGGCGGGAGCGGGGCTGTGGCAGGTGGAGGGGACTGAAGTGGGAGGGGAGGCAGGTGTGTAGCGGAGACGCCGGCGGGCGGAGCGCGGAGACCCGAGGCCAGTGAGGGCACAGGGAGGAGCCCGGGTGCGCCCTGCGCCCGCTGGAGTGATTTGAGATAAAGGGATGGGAAAGGTGAGGGACCGCGGGGGACCGAGAGGGCGGGGGTCGGTGGGATTCGGGTGGTCGGAGGAGAGCCAGCAGACTGGCTGAGAGGGCTTGATGGAGGTGAAAGTGATGGAGCTGCAGTGGGTGGGGGGAAAGTGGAAAGGAGGTCGCTGGATGCCAACGAGGGGGGCTCGAGGGAGCTGGAGAGAGAGATCTGGAAACGAAGGTAAGGGAAATGGTCAGTAAGGCAGGGCTCAAAGCTGCAAAGCAGTCCGTTGCGTCCCGTTTGGTGATCGGGGAAGTTGAGGGGACGTGGGGGAGGATGAAGGGATGAAGTGGTTTAGATTTCCGAGATACAAGTTCTCTAAGTGTTGGAGGTATTGTTTGGATCACTGGCTGCTCAGGCTATGGGGTGAGGTGAACTCTTGGAGAATGTGCGTATTGAGTTGTAGAACCGAGTCCTCTTTCTGTCTTATGAGGCTGTGAGACACCTCCCCCTCTGCATACAGCATACAGAGAAGATGGTGCCACCAGACAAGAAACAGTTGTTCAATGGACGGGCAGGAGTTGGTTGAAAAATTATTCCAGTTGTGTTGATTGACTTTAATGATTATAAGAATATTTTAAAACGCCCACTGAATGGATTGGTCTATTGTTTTGTTTTTGTAGCAAGTTGGTTTTTATTTTAAATGAACACTTTTGTCAACTGAATGTAATCTTTTCATGCCTTCTTACTGTATAAGAACAACTAAAGTAGAATGAAAGTGTTGCTGCAGGCGTAACTTGTACTTTCTAAACTAAGAGAGGAAGTAAAGGCAGTAAGAGGCAAATTGGAATTTGAATCTTTCACAGATTACAAAATGTACAACCAAGTGCTTCTAAGGTGAACAGAAATGAGATTTTTAATCTTTGCTTTTTTGCCCAGCTTTAAAATTTGTACTTTAAAAGAAAATTAACTCAAGTCTATAAAATTTTGTAAATTGAAGCCATTTTTCTTGTTAGGGATGTGATCCTCCTGTTCATTTTTGAAGATGGTAGCTTTATTTCATTTTCTCATCTTTCAACCCAATCCTAAAACACTGGGACAATGCAAATATCAAGTTCCAGCCTGCACAGTTCAGCTTCCCTTTTTATGTGATGACAAAATTGCACACCACTTTGCAAGTCCTGTTCACCCTAAAATTTGCTCTGGCATGGTAATCCATTTGCTTAGACTTGCTGAGAAAACACAACTTAAGTGAGATTTGTTGAAGGTGGGAACTTGAAGAGGAGGAAGGGGAGGGTTAGACTTAGAGAGGGTATGAACTGGGGTATGTGTTTGGAAACTGATTGGTAAGAATGCAGATAAACCTGCCCCCAGAATATGCCTGCACTGAGAGCCTTTCCTTATTGTATTCATAGACTGAATATAGTAGAAGTGAATCAGAAAGAAAGGGGCTATGAGATTTACTTGCAGTTTATAAAAAAAGAAACATTAATTTGTTTAGACAATACTGATACCTGTTTTAAATTAATTAACTTTAAAATCTCCAGAGGAATTCCCCATTTGTTTTTGAGGGAGGCTTGCAATTTGAGACTCCTGTGTCCTTGTGTATTTCTTTCTTTCATGTTGTTGAAATTGGATTCTTTTAAAGGCTATAATGTCCACTTAGCCTGGTTCAGTCCACTCAACAAGCAGTAGGGCAATTTGATCTGGGAAATTTGTGAAGTATAACTAAGAGCAGTTTGCTTGGTCTTACTTTTTCTGTCAGAAAAGCCATTCAGTCTGCCTGACGTGGTAGCTCTGGGTCTAGCTTGAGTGGTAATCTCTCTCTAGTGGGCCTAGAAATATATATAGGTTATATTCTTTCTTTTGCAGACAGGCCATTCTTTCCCTTTGTTATTGTGATTTTTATAGTTACAGTCCCTATATAGTGCAAGTCCAGTTGCTTTTTCAATAATAAACAGATTAATGGTTGATAATGTAGAGAGAAAGGTATGAGAACTCAGTTAGCAGGCTAAATAGCATCGGGATTTCCCTTTTTTAAAACTCAAGTCTCCCACTACTGAGATTTACTCCTTAATTTTCCCTCTTAGATCCTGTTCTTCCTCTTCTCATCTTTCCCTACCCATCCTCCATACTCCCACCAGTTACTCATCTTGAAAATCAACTTTAGGAACATGTAGAATTCAGAACTTCGGGCATTTTACTGGAGAAAAGAAATCTTTTATAGCTGTTTTATGTAGTTGTTCTCCCCCCCCCCCATGGTTTTGGTTATTTACTTAAAATATAGACCCAGTGTGCTTGCTGGGCTGTGCCTAGGTTCAGAGCCATGCCAATCTGTGGGTGAAGCTTGAGGCAGTAATGGAGCCCCTCCAGCAGCAGCAGCAGCAGCAGCAGCAACAACAACAACAACAGCAACAGCAAAAGCAGCCACATCTGGCTCCTCTGCAGATGGATGCCAGAGAGAAGCAGGGACCACAGATGAGAGAAACCCAGTTCCTGTATGCCCCCAAACTAGCCACACAGCCTGCTCTCCTTCCTGCCACACCGGGGAGACCTTCTGGCAGCCCTGTTCTGGGTCCCTTAGCCAGAGTTCCACCAACCACACCAGTGACCCGAGTGTTTGAGCGGTGCAACATGAACTCAGAGCCTGAGGAAGAGGAAGGAGTTCTGGAAGATGAAGATGGGGATGATGATGTTGCAGAGGTGGCTGAGAAAGAGACCCAGGCTGCTTCCAAATATTTTCATGTGCAAAAAGCATCTCGCCAAGACCCCAGAGCAGCAGGAATGTCTAGCCTGCTTCCAGCACCTGGGCCCCCATCACAGGGACAACAAGCTAAAGAAGACCATACCAAAGATACTTCCAAGGCCCCACCTTCCATCTCCATAGCTGGGCAGACAAACTGGAATCTGGATGAGCAGCTTAAACAGGTAAGTCTTTCTGCTGTAAGAGGCTGTTTATTCTACTTAAAGGCTAGCTAGAGAGGGTGATGGATGGGCAGGGATTGGAACTATGCCAGACAGGGTTTTCTTACTCTATTTCACTGGCCCACAGCCTATACCAATAGATTGATTTTGTTGTTGTTAGCATTCGTTTGTTTGAACTGGAGATATAGCTCAGTCATAGTGTATGTGCTGTGTGTGAGAGAGGCCCTAGATTCAATCTCCATCACTACAGAAAAAAAACCCTAATTAATGGATTTTTGTTTTTTATTAAAGCTCTGTAGTGTACTATAGGGTATAAGTTACTCTTATGCACTTGTAGCTTGTTACAAGTTTATGTTAAAGAATCTCTTTTTTTGAAAAGGAAGAATGAATGGGACATGGTGGCACATGCCTTTAATCGCAGCACCGAGGGACAGAGATGGGCAAATCTCTGTGAAATTGAGGCTAACCTGGTCTATGTAGTAAGTTCTAGGCCAGTTGGGGCTACAGAGAGAGCCTGTCTCAAAAAATTAACTAAAAAAAAAAAAAGGAGGTAACAGTATTTTATTAAGCCTATCTAAAAATGAATGACTAGGAAATAATAACAGTAATAAAAACAAAATAAAGCTGGATGGTTCGCATCTTTAATCCCAGCATTTGGGAGGCAGAAGCAGAGGTAGGTGGATCTTGGTGTCAGCCTAGTCTACAAAAACAAAGAAAAACACTTTAAAAAAAAAAATTCATAGGGACTGGAAAGATAGAGATGGCTCAGTGGTTAAGAGCACTGGCTGCTCCTACAGAGGACTCCAGTTCAGTTCCCAGCACCCACATGGCAGCTAACAACCATCCATAACTCCAGTTCCAGGGAATCTGATGCTTTCTTGTGGCCTTCACAGGCATTGCACACACGAATGTAAATATATGCAGACAAAACACTTTAAAATTTAAAGAGTTGGGGCATCATTATTTAATCCCAGCACTTGGGAGGCAGAGATGGGTAGATCTCTGTGAGTTCAAGGCCAGCCTGGTACATAGTGAGTTCCAGGCCAGCTGGGACTACAGGAAGACCCTGTCTCAAAAAGTCCAAAAAAATAAGTAAATTTAAAAAAAATTAACAAAATTCATTACGTGAGTTAGTTTTTCAAGTAGGGATGTAAATGAACACTTTTGCCTGAGTATTTTAGCCTCAAGCAAATGGAAAATCATGCTCTTTAAGGCTATTGTTTTGAAGCTGAACATAGCTGATAAGCACTTGCATTGTGTGTATTTCTCAACCAAGAGCCTTGTAAACATGATTTTGTTTTACTTTTACCTCATGTGCTTAGAAAGAGGGAAGACCTCAGAATTCTCTTTTTAACCGAGGAAAGTTGAAATGGCTTCTAAACATGGTTACATATCAGAGTTAGCTATAGAGATTTTGGGGTTCTGGGGGCAGTGGGGAAAGGGAGGTTTGTGGCGCCAGGGATGGGTGCCTCCAGCATGCTAGCAGGGAGCTTTTTATAAAGGTAGACTCAAAATCCTAATAATGAATTGTTTGGAGGGTGGAGTCTAGAGAATCTCTTCTCAGCTAAGCCTTTGATTTCCAATTTCCTTGTGACTCACACTGCAGTTTTTCGTCATTCTGTGTATGAGAGTAATAAGTTGTTCCAGGGTAAATGACTCATTGGTGCTATAGACAGGGAATTCTTGGTAAGGCTTTTAGTAACTAGATGCTCTGTGTGGACCACTGTTGCTGTTCAGAAGTCTTCTGTGAAGAGCTGTGGGCTTAAAAGGGCAGCTGAGATAGCTGTGGTGGCACACGCCTATAATCCCTGCACTTGGGAGGCAGAAGCAGGCGGATCTCTCTGAGTTCGAGGCCAACCTGGTCTACATAGTGAGTTCAGGACAGCTGGGGCTACAGGGAGACACTGTCTCAAAAAAAAAAAAAAAAAAAAAAAAAAAAGGAAGCTGAGAAATCATGAAAAAGCTTCTTTGGAGTTGAAAAATCAAGCAAGCATCTTTGGCTCAAGGAACCCTGTGCAGTTGACCTGAGTTTTGTAACAGTAGTGCTTGTAGTTGGTTCAAATCCTGTCTCTTCCATGTTTTACACTGTGGTCTTTTGATAGCAATCTGAATTGCCTGTTTCCTCATCTGTAGAGTGAAAATAACAAAGCTGGACATGGTGGCTCACACTCATAAGCCTAGCATTTGGGAGTCTGAGACCAGCCTGAGGTACAAAATGAGACCCTATCTGTCTCATACTGATACTACCAGTACTACTACTGATACAAAAGAAGGTGCCTTTCAGATCTGTTGTGAAGAGTAATAAGCTATGTGTCTGTCCAGTGCCAGGCACATGGCCCCTAATAGTGCTGCGGGAGTTGTGTGCTAATAGCACCTTCCTCTTTTGCATCTGAATAGACAGACCTTTGAAGCAGCGAAGGTACTGAGATGCACAGGGAGTTCCTTGCCATCACCCAGGAAGAGAAGCAGAGCTAGGACTACAATCAGAATCCCAACTTCCCCGACAGCAGCACCCTGGCCACCAGCCCAGACCTGCCTCCTGGCTGATTTCTTTGGTTTAGTAAAACATCTGTGAATTGCCGGGAGCCCCTGCACTGCTGTGTGGTTGGCACAGTTCCATGCTGGCCGGCCGCTGAGTCAGCTCATAGTGGGAACTCGCCCTGACAGCGCTGGGAAAGTTCAGGCCTGAGGCAGCGGGCTGCCCCCGCCTTGGCAGCTGGCCAGACTCTGCTTGTGTGCGGTCATTCCTAGAAAGTGCAGCCGTGTGTGAGGAACAAGTGGAGCTCCAGAGCCTGTCTGTCTTCAGGAAGTGCAGCAGGTGTTGAGGTCAAACCATTAGAGCTTTGAAAAAAGAAACTCTTCAGGACTGGCGTGTGCATGCACACGTGTGCGGTGTGGCAAGGCGCCCAGCCCAGCGTTCTGTATGGCAGCCACCCATGGCTCCACTGCTCAGTGCTCTGGAGGCTGGCTGTTGGCAACCAAAACCCTTTGAGTTCATTTAAGTTTCTGAGGCATACGTACTAATAATAGACTGTTTGGCAGAATACCTGCCCAAATGTTTTCATAAATGCCCTAGTAGCTGAGGCCAAATGCTTCATTCTAAATTTACCTGCCCTGTGAATGTGGAGATCAGGAAATGGGTCAGAGAGACAATGGCTAACAGTGGCTTAAAACTTTTGATGAGCACTTCCTGTTCCCCTTGTAGCTTTAGTTTTTCAATTTGTCTGTGGTCTCCTCCTTTAAAAAAAAACATTTATTACATTTTATTTACTTTGTGTGGGTATGCTACAGTGTGTATGTGGAGGTTAAAGGACAGCTTTTTGGAGTCAGTTCTTTTACCAATGTGAGACCTAGGGATTGAACTCAGGTCATCAGAGCCATCTTGCCAGCCCTCCTTTCCTTGTTTAAACCTTGCTTTTAAAGGAGCAAGTAAGCTGTGCATGGTGGCACATGCCTTTAATCCCAACACTTGGGAGGCAGAGGCAGGTGGATCTTTGTGAGTTCGAGGCCAGCCTGGTCTACATAGTGAGTCCCAGGACAGCTGGGGCTACAGGGAGACCCTGTCTCAAAAAGACCAAAAAAAAAGGAGCAGTAATGTGCTTGGGGATTAAAATGTTTTTAGTTGTGCTTTGGACAGAGGACTGAAAAAATACCTTTGGGAGAGAGCCTATAGAAACCATCAGACCTGGAGACTGGTGGGTTTTTTTTAATTTATCAGTCTTTTGATGTAACTAACTTGGGGTGGGGGGCAGAAGTAGAAATTAAGTACCCCTTGCTCTAACCACAATTCAAAGGCCTTTTCCAAATGATACAAGATCTTAATTGGTAATGAGTCGCAGTGTCCTATTTTGATTTTTTTGAGACAATGTCTCTGTTGCCCCCCCCCCACCTGACATGGAACTCAACATACAGAACAGGCTGGTGTCAGTCTTACAGAAATCCTCCCACCTCTACTTCCTGAGTAGTGGGATCAAAGACTTGTGCCACCACACCCATCTCTGCAGTGTCCATTTTATTCTAAACAACATACTTGGGCAGAGTCCTTTGTGCCAGGATTGTAAGCCATGAAATAGCCTCTCCCTCAAAGAGCAACAAGTATAGTAGAGGTGCTGTGGGAAACTAAAGGTAGGTTGGAGCTGGGTTGTCCTAAGTCAGCTAAAGCCTGGTCCAGTCTACTCTATGGTGCAGATATTTCTAAAACAAATGTTTTTGAAAGATTCACTTATATACCAAGAAAAAAAGGTGATTTTTTTTTTTTTTTAAGTATAGAATACTCAAACAGTAGTTTGCAAGATTGGTGAGGGTTGGCAGGCCTCTGCAAACTGAAAAGCAAACCTGGAAAAGCTTAAGGGGAGCCACAATAATCCTTTGTCTCGGAAAGCCTGTTCTTAGAGCATGTAAAGTCAAAATTACTTCATGAATTCTCTACGAAGAAACTCAGAAAATATTTGCTTCTCAAGGCTTAGATCATTCTCTGACACCAGGGTGATGGGAAGATGGATAACACCGTGGAGCCCAGTACTCTAAGAGCCATCAGATTCCTATTGGCAGAGTAAATAATTGTAAAACAAGACAACAAAGAACTGAGTGTCCCTTCTCTCAAGGGAGATCACACAGCCAACTTGGGGGGCAGGGGTTTGCTGGTCCTTTAGAGGTGGTCTTCTGCTGGCCTGCATAGAGGGTGGTTTAGGCAATTCAGGCTAAGTCCTTTAGTAGAGCTAGGTTTCCTTCCACAGAATAGGATGACTAGTGATAGTTTGATAGGTGTGGGGCAGCCAGAATTGTATGTCTGATTTTCTGCATGCTTTGACAGTCACTTTGGTTACTCAGTGACTTTGCATAGTGAGCTCAATGCAAAGCACTCAGATTCACTAGAATTCATTGCTCAATAAATGTTGTTCCCCTCACCCATCAAGCCCCTTGTGTTTTACAAGGCATTGTCCCAGGAGTGCCTTCTAGGGTGGAAGAGTTTTATTTCAGAAAACTTGTCAATTGAAGAATTC